CTAATAATCAAAATAAGTAAGTTTGAAGTTATTTTTCATATAATATGATGATTAGTATGTGTACTATATCGAAATGAATGTACTCTTCGTTTTATATAATTTTGTTTTTGTATCTCTTGTTGAAATGGAAACTAGTAATCCAACATTTTAGTTGTCTTTTTACAATAGTCTCACCTTTTTGTTATTCATGAATAATCCAATCTTTGCACCTCATCTTCATTTATTGGTTCCTGACCTGATATTCCAAGTTATTTTCTTATCTTTGTAAATCATTGTATTATAAATTTCACATTTCACAAAGAAAATATTTTGCAAATATAAGAAAATAACTTGGAATAGCAGGTTATTAACCGATCAGGGACCAGTGAATGAAGATGGGATACAAAGGTTGGCTTATTTGAATAACAAAAATGAGGGACTATTGTAAGAACACTGCTAAAAGGTTGGATTATTTCCATTTTTCCCTTTTTTATTAGAAATCCAATGTTTCTTATTTCATTACTTTATTCAATTTATAGAGCATATTTTCTTTACAATGTTTTTGCTCAGCAAATGTTAAAAAATAAAGTCGGTCCAATGCTTGTAATTACAATACAACGTGATATTAAAATTGCCAACATAAATTGGTGTTAGTAACTTTTTACATTTTTAGGAATTATACTAAAATTTTTGTTGAATTTCAAAAATCAAATTTGTATTGAGAAAAGTGTTACATAAATCCAGTGATTAAAAATGAAATTAAGTCCATGCTAAATCTATTTTTTTTAGCAATGTATCTGCTTTACATAGTTTGGTACTTCCATAAAATATCATAACAAAAATCACTAATTTATCAAATGCTCCCATTTTAACTTTTCCACCACAATTATTTATTCTAAAACATCATCGACCTTTACTATTAAACACTTTCATTAATTATCTATTTAGGACTAAAACAAGTTATGTGTGCACAAATAGGACCAAAAAAGGAGTCTATGTTTCATATAGGACCTAAAAGGCTAAAACCACCTATTTGTACAAAAATGTTCCCATTCAGTTTTAAGTGAATTTAAAATAAAAAATGTAAAAATAAATTTCATCAACACCCTAAAATTTCACACGAGAACTTCAGCCAGCCTCAACGCAATTTTCACTTGTCGCCGCCTGTCGCCGCCTCCCACACTAAAGTCATCATCCACCGCCGTTGCCGCTATCCTCCGACCACCATTGGTGGAAACTTGACTTCCGAGCACAGTCACATCTCTAGCTCAAAAAAACTGCCATAGAGTTGACAGATTTAATATCGGAGATTTATTTGAAATATTCCATGAACAAGGATTTCAAATATGCCAAAGATTTGGTAGATTTATCTTGGAATAGCTGTCATATATTGGCAAAAACACGAAATGAATAACCAAATGTTCGAAAAAATCCAAATTGTAATTGAATAAACACGCTAACACAGTTGTAAATTACAAATACAAAGTTAATGAAAAAGAATCAGAAAAGCCAATTTACATAAAACGTTTTTGCCATAATATGATTGTTAGTGTACATTTTTGCCATAAACATGGCAAAATCGTATGCAATCATCCAAAACTCCAGAAAATCAGAATGTTTCAAATACTAAGAAATAAGAAATTAGAAATACGAAAATAGAAGTATGAAAATTGGCAAAATCCATGTCAAAATCCTGAAAAAAAAGAAGAATAGAAATATGAAGAAGAAGATGAAGGAGAAGGAAAAGTAGAAGGAGAAGGAGAAGAAGGAGAATAAGAATGAGAAGACGAAGAAAAACAGAAAAACCTGAAATCCGAAGGAAAATAAAGTCGATGATGGTGGATGGCGAAAGCGACGAAGCGGAGGCGAAGAAGGCAAAGGCGGTGGAAGCACCATGCAATGGAGTAGGCTCTACAAGGAGAAGATGAGATGCAGTTACTCTTTGAAAAGGAATCGATCGATCTTTGTTCGGCGACGACCTTCAGACCTGCGATCACCTTCAGATCTGCGACCATCGTAGACTGTTCTGCAGCTAGAATTTAGCTACAAGGTCGACGGCTAAGGTTTCTAAGGCGACGACATGGATTGGGGGGTATGAGCGAATGAAATGGTGGGCTGCACTAGTTGAAGGGCCACAGGGGGGGGTGTTGTGTTGGGAACCAATTGTGCAGGGGCTGGTGGATGTGGGCTCGGGGCCCTGGTGGTGTGGGGCAGGGATGACTGGGATGGGGCAGGGCTTGTGGGGTGGGCGTGGCTAGGCTGATGGGGTGGGGCACGACGGGAGTGATGAGGGCTGGGTTGAGGTGATGTGGTAGGGCAGGGCTGTGGCGGTGGGGCAGGGCAGAGGCAGCGGGGACAGCCGCCGTTGTGCCGGCCGGCTATGGTGGTGCTCAGTGACTTAATCGGCGGGGCGTTCATTTCACTAAGGTGGGATGTGTCACTAAACGAAAACAATTACAGTGACATGTTCCATGGTGTCGGTGACACGTGCGGTGGCTACAGTGACATGGACGATGGCTACAGTGACACCAGCGGTGGCTACAGTGACATGGGCGGTGGCTATAGTGACATAGGCAGTGGTTACAGTGACACCGACAATGACATAAAATCTGACAGTGATAATATGTTTTTTCAAATCTGACATAAACCCTGACAGTGATAAAATCTGACAGTGATAAAATCTGACAGGGATAATATGTTTTTTCAAATAATATGACCTTCTTAGTCACTTTTTTGCCTTTTTGAAAAATGGTCACACTTTAGGAAAGTGGTTTAAATTTAGTAATATTGAAGGCAAAAGCCCAAAAAAACATATCAAATCCTATTTTTGAATTTCACCCTCGTTTCTAACAAAACAAAATTATAATTGTGAATGAGTGTTGGTACCCTTAACTTGTGTCAACACACTTTATTCATTAAAAGTTGTACATTGCTTACAGAAAATCAAACCCAATTTTTAATATGACCTTTTGGCCCTTACTTTTTTCCAACTAACGTTTATAACTTAAGATTCCGTTAAGTCTACTTTTTCCCCTGTTGCTAATTTAAGGTTTTTTACTTTTTTATACATCGGGATGTCAACTTGAATACTATGGAGTATATATCTTACTAAAACTTAGTTCAAGCAATATCAAATACGAAGTATAATGCAAGTATGGTACTACTAGGGGTGGTTCGGTACGGCATACCTTATATTTTTTCTCATACCTTTGCCGTACCAAAACTTTCGAGATGCAAAATTTGCATACCTTTACCGTATCGAAGTTTCGGTATACCACATTTCGATATACCGAAGTTTCGGTTCGGTAACGGTACAGTATCGGTAAATTACCGTGCATGTCTCCCAATACAAAAAATTAACATAGACTAACGAAATATACTAAATCGTTATTACTAGCGACATATTAAATCTATTATTAAAATGTTATGAAATACAATTATTAATCTATTGATGTCAGTTCAATATTGAACAATAATTATTATTAGTATATTTAAGCAGTTCCACATGCCACATATTAAAAAGTAACACATTCTCCTAAAATAACTTGAACAATATAGATATAATTAAATCAATAGTAATCTCTAACAAAAATAAATAAAACTATTCAAACAACATGGATATAAAATCATTTATTCCGAATATGATATTGTGTATTTAGTCATTTTTATAATTTTTTAAAAATTGAATAAGAATTTCGGACAAAGTTGTGTGTCTTGACTCGTGGAATCCTTATGTAGATACACTTGTCACATAAGTGTATCTCTCTTCACTCGTCAGCTACTTAACGGCCCAGCCATCACGACTTGCAAGCTCTTGGAACAAAATAGACTTGTTTCTTGACATTTGTACATTACTCAGTACTCATTAGTCATTAAGGTTAGCGTAGTAGAAGCCTATAAGGTTATAGTGAGTTTGAGAAATTGGGCCTTTATTTTTGTATTTGTAACCAACCTAAGTATTAATTTTGGGCTTCACAATTGTAATGAATTTTTACAATATATTAGAATTAAAAATAATTGTTGAGTAGGGAGTCGGTACGGTATTATACCGGTATACCGCGGTATTTGAAAACGTTTACCGTTACTGTATCGAAATAGATTGGTACGGTATGATACCGTACCGAAAATGACGGTATACCAATATTTCGGTATTTTCCGGTATTTTTCGGTACGGTAAGTGCGGTATACCGATTTTTCGGTATTTTTGCCCACCCTTAGGTACTACGTATATTATTCTCTATATCATTTTATTGGTCCCAATAAGATTGTCTCAATTTTCCTTTTCGGTTCGTTCCATTAAGATCGTCTCATATCAAATTAGATAAAATTTGTATGGGTCTAAATCATTCTTACTATATTCTTGCTTTATCAATTTAAAATATAAACCATATAAACCCATTTTTTAATAATCGTGTCACCTCCTCTTGTCCCAATATTAGTGGAACAAAGTTAGTACTATTTTAATATAGTACGAAGTATATATACAATCCTTCGTTCTTTGATAGTTGCAACAATTTGACTTTCACATTTGCCAACATATAGTTTTAACTGTAATTATATTTGATTACATATTAGTAAATATTATAAAAAGTTAATATTTTGGAAATTCGCATTAATAGAAATTTAATAACATTTTATACAAAATAATTTTATTATACCGGAGTATATATTAGTACAAATTTATGGTCAAAGTAAGGTGTGTAAATACAACAAAAATCAAAATATTGCAACTATTAAAGAATGGAGCTAGGAAGTATATATTTTACTAACAACAACTCTTTGGCTTGTTCAATGAAAGTGTTTATAATCTTACAACAATATCACAGATAAAATTTGTTTGCACAAAAGAACTTTACTTCAACGTTGGGCAAAGGCTCTCGCGTCTTGCGCGATGAAACGCTAGTTAGCTCTATATGGAGCAATTAGGAGTACTATTGAAGCAAATACAAACATTTTCATAGATAGTGAGGCCCAACTGTAAAAGATACTAGCAGCATATGCATACGGAGTTAAGAGGCACACGGGCTGTTAAGAGGCCCCCCAAATAAATTCGGACTCGGCCCAACCGAACCTCTCTTCGTCCATCGACCATCGTCCTCTGAGCTCCCGTTGACCATCCACAGCTGCCCGCACCCCGCAAGCCATCGCCTGCCCCATTCCTCGGCTGCTTGACACCTCCCGTCGTTCTGCATCGTTGTCTCTGACTACAAGCTGAGCTTAACACCCGCGCTACTGCGCTAGGCCTTTAGGTTAGTTTCAGCTTTTTTTTTTTTTTTTTTTTTTTTTTTTTTTTTTTTTTTAGTTTTTAGTGTATACGGAGTACCTTTTTAGCTTTAGTTTCGAGTAATTTTTTGTGACCGACAATAAGACTATAAGACCTGTTTTTTAGCTGATATTTTATGGATATATTAATAATTGATTGGTAACGTTTTTTCCCCAAGAAAATCATATTCTTTTCATCTGGTTTCATCACTCGGTACACCACTTCCTCCTCAGGTTCTCAATTGCATTGATAAGATTGTGATTGGTGATTCGTGAGTATCAATCCCATTGTTTAGTTTTAATTCCAATATCATACTGGCGGTTGTAAGTATGAACCCCAATTCTTTACTATAATTGTGGTGACCTTTTTAGTAATTATCATATCATGTGGTGAATTGTTGTAGAGTTGAAAAACTAATGAAGAGATTACTAGCTTTTGACTCGGGCATTGATTCTTCGTCTTGCAACCTCTAGTGTTGAAAAAAAAATTCCGTAATGAATATCATGAAGGATTGATTGAGCAATCCAACGAGTGATGACTGGCTCAATGATAGACTTCTTGTTTATGTAGAAAAAGACATCTTCTTCAAAATTGACTATAATAGTATAATGTCATAATCAAGTCATTCAAGTGATATCGGTCTGTGAAAATCCTCAGAGAAAAATTATGAATTTATGATGTTATTTGCCTTTATAGTATGATGGAACCAAAGACATTATTTTTTGGCTCCATCATTTCAATGGAGTCAAATACATTATTTTTTGGCTTAGAAATATGATGGAATAAAGCAAAGTGCTCACTAAACTGTTTGCGCTTCTTTGTAATGAAGCAGTAATCAGTCAATGCAATTTTTGATGCGATTTTCACTATGGGTCATCTGGAAACAGTCTCTCTGCTTTAGTACAGGGGTAAGATTGTGTACGACCCCCTTACCCCACCATAGATGGGAACCTTTGCAGCACTGGGGTAATGATGATGATTTGCCTTTATAGTATAGTGCAATTCAAATTATTTATGTATATGAATTTTTTGGCCTCCGCTGGATTGAATGGCTAGATCCGCCCCGGGCCGAACAGACATATCTAAGTGGCGGCATAGCTGATCCTATTCATTGTTTCCATGGAAAATAACACCCAGATTTATCCTTGCCTCGTCACCTTTACGTAGCACGTCAAAGAGGTAAGATCCAAAGACTGAAACAGACTTTCATTTTATATACATGCCTTAGAAGTTGAATCAAAATTAGGAATATTTATGAGTATTACTAGTAGTGGGCGGAACTAGTATGAGTGTAGAAAGCGTAGATGAATAGTGATGTTATTATGAGTTGTTATTTAAAAATATAATGATAGAATTATCATTTAAGTATTTAACAATTAACACCCTTATTTTTTTTTTACCAAAAAGGAAATAGAATGTTGATATTGGACGTCCTAAAAAGGTAACCGGGAACCTTAAATTGAGATGGAGGGATTATCTGTAGGTTAACCTTTAATATTTTGGGGTCTATGATATTACTCTTTGTATTTGGTGAAAACAAAGAGTAAAAACGAATCCCATTGGAGCTTATTCTGGAAATGTAGTAACCCACCAAATTACAAAGACTGGTTTAATTGATGGTGACATGATAAATTTGTTAATTTAATTTAGAAGCACCCATTGAAGATAGGTGGGTCTTCCATGTTCATAAAAGACCGAGTGATGTACTTCTTAGAAAGTGAGAGGCAGAGAGGTCGACCTAGATTGACGTGGATTAGAGTGGTAAAGAATGATATGGTGCTTAATGTTTTTTTTTTTTCATTTTGTAATGCTTAATAATGCATTTTGTTGTTTTAAATTTAAAAAAATTAACTTTAGAGTTAGATTATACAAGAAAGAGAATACGAAATTTATCTAAAAATTCAGATTATGATATAATTTATTAAATTTGGATGTGTTGTGTATAGTTCACTTAATTCCAGTAGTACCATACCATGTAAGTAGAAAAGAATTAATGCCCCACATTGAAAACATAATACCACAGTGTACCCTGCATAATTTCCATAATATTTATCTGTACTTTACTTTACACATTTTCACTACTCTATTTGTTATGGTTAAATTAACTACTTAGACTTCCTTCCATTCCCATCACGTAATCTTAGTATCTTACTTGCTTACACTTCCATTATTTACACCTCTCTATGTACTCCTCATCTAAACAGGGTTAATGTATCAACTGTGAGGATCATCAGATGGAAGGAAGGAGAATGAGGAGGCTCGGGAGAGGACAAAACAGTCAAACTGTTTTGCCCTTGAGTGTGGCTCGTATTTCCAATATCATATCGTGCTGGTAAGCGCTATAATCTCATTGCACATAGCTCAGGATGCCTGTTGCCTCTCCTACCGTGTTTTCTCCATTGTAAGTTTAATGCGTACAGGTACTGCGACTTCAAGTTCTGTGTGTTGAATGAACCTCTCTATGTATTTGGACGACGATACTCTAGGTACAGATTCCTGTTATGTTATTCTTTTTCTTTTGTTATATTCTCTGTGGCAGGACCATGGCTTCAGATAAATGTGAATGTTCAGCTCTTTTCATGTATCAGAATTATCTATGGGGGATATCTATCAGATGCACCCATGTACATAGGATAAGATATACTCCCTCCGTCCTGACATAAAGTTCCTGGTTTGACTTCATGGTTTTTTAGGTAGAATAGGAAATAAAGTTGGCTTTCCGAAAATGCCCTTGGGTAATTCAAAGATGTAGTACCCAAATGGGTATAATAAAGGGGTAAATGAATAGTGAAATGGAGGTAACACACATCAATTCAATGAAGTGATGTGAGGGTAAAAGGGTATTTGAATAATAATAACTTACCGAATATAGAAAGAAGTTGAAGTAGGAACTTTATTTTGGGACATCCCGAAAAGGAAAGGTGGAACATAATTGCGGGACGGAGGGAGTATTTAATATCAGATTAGTTTCCATAAATAGGGACTTTTAATTAATATTCACATGGACGTGATAATGCGATACTATAACTCCTTAAGTTTTTATTTATGGAAAGTAATAAGTGTGTTCAATATATTTTATCGAGTGAATAGCTGTATATAGTTGCAAACCCTTTATTTTTGCCAACCTTTTGAACATTATACCTATAATGAGCAGTACTAATAGTGTGATTAACTAAGTTTCTCAATTACACCATACCTACTAATTTACAAGTATGGTAATACCATAATACACAATTTGACTATGTTAGTAGTTAGTACTCTCGCTGACAGTTATGTCCTTTCAGAACTCATAATGTTATCCTATCTTCATCAGGTACTTGAGATGTTGGTTTGCCATGGGGGTTGGCTTTAGTTCTACAGCTTTGCTTGCAGTGACTCTGGTTAGTCTCTAATTCAGTTTCTATATTTCAATTTGAAAAGAGAAAAGAATGGATGAAACATCCGCGGTCCCTCTATATGTTTTGCCATTAAATCTAACCACAGTGGTTTGTGTTATTTGGAAATGATACTGTCAGATTCTTCTCTGGGAATTAAGCAGAATTCTGCACCCATACAATGAGGAGGGCCAATTCAGCTCTCTTTTAAGTGGCTCCTTATTTGGCATTTCTTCTAAAGGTAGGTAGTGTTTTATACCTTTATATTCCTGTTCTTCTTGGTTTTGAATCATCCTGTACAATAAACTTCTTGTGGCAAGAAAAAATGTAAGAGCAAATTATTTCCTATCTTTTACTAGATCACTGCTAACCATAGTGCCAAGATGATAATGAGCACATGAGACTCCGTATTCTGTAACTAAATGTTAATGTTACTCTCTACTTCCTGATGTCATGTTTACACATGACCATGTGTTGTGAACCACCTCCCTAACTTTCATTCCGAAGCCATATTCATTCTATCCACAACTGGCTGTCTTGTCGCTCTTACTCTGGTGTCATAGTTCTGTCACCTCTGTCAACACTAAAGTTGTATTCTATGAGCTTTACACTGTAGTACCTATGCTATTTCATAAATTCAGTCCAAGGTTGTTAAAATCGTATTTTTTTATCGAATCGGTACAAGGATTTAAAAATCGAATCGTAAAATCGAATCGTAAATCGTAAGATTTTACAAAATAATTAAATATAATAATTAAAAATGTTAACTAAAAGGAAAACTCAGAATTTAACCTTATTAAGTTTAAGTCATACATTGATGTGTTAATTAAAGTGAACAAAATAATTAATAACAAATCAATGTCATATAATCAAAGAAGAAAAGTCAACAAAAATAAAAATTACGGAGTAAGTTTTAATCAAAATTCGCAATGAATCGTATATGAATGGCAGAACTTATATAAATATCCGTATGTTTATTTTATTTTGTAGAATATTGAATAAATAATTTAATAGTTAAATTTGAACACAAAGTTTTAATTTACGTTTTGTTTATTTGGTTTGGTTAAGCAATATGGTTGTGTGTAGGCCTGTAGGGTTGGGCGTGGGTTTGATATCCGGCACTGCTGGTTTACGTTTTAAACAAAAAACTTGTTTACTCATCTTATAGACTTATACGGAGTTTCATTATTCCCACACCGGAAGAGCTTAGGAAATTTCCATCCTCCCTTGCCTATATAACCGTTGAGCTTACTTATCTTCTTTCAGCCAGCGAGTATTTCGTTCAACCTGCCTAAACGGCTAGATGTAATCGGCTGAGAGATTGGGCTGGGTTATGGCAAGTTTTAAAGTTAAATTTAAAGAATCGGGGAAATCGTTTGCAATCGCGATTTGAGGCGATTTTAGCGATTCAAAAACGATTTTTTAACGATTTTTTCTAATTCCGATTTAGTTAACGATTTGAGTCGGTTTAGTGAGTTTAGATCGTAAAATCGTACGATTTTACGATCTAAATCGCGATTTTAACAACCTTGATTCAGTCTTTAGACTTTTTACTCCAAAGGTTTGCTGCACTGTCAAATTAAACTTTAAAAACATTTATTTATGTAAAATCGGTATTTGTGGACTTCAATGCTGTCAGGGTTCTATTGTCCTCATCGTTTACTGCCTAAAGTTCTTTTGTATAATGTCTGGATTTCTAGGCAATCAAAGAATCATACGCTATTTCAGAAAAAAGAATTATGCCATTCAACTCTTATGTGTGGGGTTTCATTACTGTGCTGCCTTACATACCAAAATTCGATTGAACCGCCATAGCTCTAATCTTGTAAATATAAAATATCCATCTATGATGTACAACTATATGCAATACAATTGTCACTTCGATTTAAGGGAGAATGTTTTAGCTTTGTGTAATCGTTTAGCTTTGAATAAAAGCATGTTACAGAGTTTCGGTGTCAATCATATATCAGTTGTTTAAGCCTAAACGTATCTGCATAAAGGCCAGCCCGGTGCACATCAGCATCCCTGCAGGGGAGGTCCAGGGAAGGGTCCCACCACAAGGGTGTATAAGGGGAAAGCCTTCCCTTTTCATCTTGACAAGAGGCCACTCCCAAGATTTGAACCCGTGACCTCTCGGTCACATGGCAACACCATAACCGGTGCCCCAAGGTTCCTCATCCCTAAATATATCTGCATATCAAAAGAAAATAATGTGAACTCTTGGCTATTCGTATCACCAACTTCATGGTATACATGGCTTGAAATTATGTGCTTGTGACTTAATAGGTTGATCTATGAATATGATAGCCAACTAAGCTAATATAAATTAATCAATGGCATTTAGCCATGTTCAGTTTTTGTAATATCCGAGCTCCCTAGTAGCGATTGATAACTATTGACATTGATGTCTGTGTTGCCAGAGAATCAAACTTGTAATTGAAATATCTTTATTTGTTACTTTTCTAGGGTCACTTATTTCAGCTTCCTAAATGTTGCTTGTTGTGAAGCTTTCAGGCTTGCCATCTCACTTAATGGCATTGGATACTTGTGTATATCTACGATTATATCTGTATCGGTTCACGAACTTGGGCATGCTCTTGCTGCTGCAAGGTTAAGTCATCTTAGTGTTTTTAATTCACTGGTTCAATGCAATAAACATGGTATTTGTTTTGATTTTATAATATTACATATATTTAATCGAGTGCGAACACTTACACTGTGCCTCAAAATAGTAAGCGCACTCGAAATAAGACCGTCCAAGTCCTTATGATATTTGCCAGCATGGGAAGTTTCCTGTCCACAAATTGGTATGTTGCCATGTTCTGTTGTTCTGTTTTCATATAAACAGTGTCATATTACCAAACATTGCTTGAATCAGGCTGAACATTCAAGCTCTCATGTCATCCAATGAACTCAATGTAATTAATTCTTACTCCCACCAAGTCCTACCATCACGGTTTCAAATCCTAATATTGATTGGAGTGGATTCAGATTCGTGTTGAGCATGATCCAAGAATTCAAGATGCCACAGTAGTTAAAGGGTTTCAGTTTTTCACAAATGACGAAGTGTATTGTCATTTTCTTTCCTCCCCTCTTCCTCTTCTTGTTTGACTACTTTGTCATATTTCCCCTGCCTCATTGGCAGGTGGTACCCATTGCCACCCTCCAGACCATTCTATATGTGCATTAGTTGCATCTTCATTTCCTACTGCTTCCGTGCTTCGTGGCTTAAAGCATTTATTTGTATGAAAAAAGTAACAAACATTATAGCTAGAAGAAGTCATGACTCATGAGACATCTGGTTAATAATGCATCATTAATTTAATAATTTTCATTTACTTCTAATTATTTGTGTATTTTTTTCTTAGCTTGTTAAATTTCGTACTTCTATTACTGCTCTGAGTTGTGTTAATGAGGATACATTTTAGTTTACTTCAGAAGGCAGCTATTTTCATAGCAGAACTGTCCATATGTTTGCTAGTAAACAAAATGATGTTGTGACTATGGATTCCATTACAAAACAATGCATCGTGTATTTGTGTATTATTGTTGGGACTTTGTTTTGATTAAGTGATTATAAAGCCGAGTTGCATTGCTTGAAACATATGACTTTGCTAGCTTGATGCTTAGTAGTTTTACCAAGGACATAGTAATACTGACATGGGTACAAGTCAAGTATTGATCTCAAAAGTGCTGTGCTCCTATTCTCTGAAGTACTGTCTTGAAGGTTATATATATTACCCAGAGATAATTTAGATACCATCTTTCTGTTCCACAGTGAGGGCATACAAATGGAGTACATTGCTGTATTTTTGGCAGTAATATTTCCAGGAGCTCTGGTGGCATTTAATCATGAGACATTGCAGGCAATACCTAAATCTGCTGCTCTTCGTATATACTGTGCTGGAATTTGGCATAATGCAGGAGTAAGTGCATGATACATGTTTAGGAATCTGCAAGTGTTCAATTTTCTGCCGCTTTCAACTAATTAGTTTGTCTTCCTTTTGCAGCTTTGTGTTTTTTGTGCCATTTCATTGTTCATCCTACCAGTAATCTTGTTTCCTGTTTACATACACGGTGAAGGACTCATGGTAATCAATCAGAGCATTTATATGTTATAATTTGGTAAGATAGACACATGTTTCCTCAATCATCTTCAGGTAATGCCTAATGATGCATATTAATTAAACTGGAATAGGTTTTACATGTCGCCTCAAAATCACCACTGTCTAGATACCTGTCTCCATATGATGTGATCTATTCTATTGATGGTACTCGCATTAATGATGTCCAAGAGTGGCTTCAGATCGGTAGTTTAATAACTGAGCAGGAATACCGAAGCAGTTACAGTGCCTATAAAACCAGTAGCGCAAAAGGTTACTGTGTTCCTTATTCGTTGCTTGAAAAGAGAATTCATGTTCAACTGAGAGGCAATAAAACGATTTGCCCAAATGATCTTATAGACTTTGTAGCAGCACCATGCCAGGAATTGAGATTGTCAGAAGATTGGCACGTGGAAAATATCTATTGCTTGTTTGCCAAGGATATTTTGGACTTCAAGAAATGTGGAGATGGTTGGGCAAAAGCTTCAAAAAATAGAAGCAGCTGCTTGTGCACACAAGTATGGAATTCAAGTTTAATCAAGATAAGTTTGTTTATCCGTCTAAAATAACAACTGAGGAATGTAATTGTCAAATGCATTGATGATGTAGGAAGAATCTTGCGTTGCTCCATTCCTAATGCCTGGTGTTGCATGGGTTGAGATCACATATATAAGGCCTTTTACGCCAGAATGTCAGAAGTTTCTAAGAACTAGTTTTCTAGAAGATACGAACTCTGATATTGGTGACATAAGATGCTCTGAAAGTTTTGTATTTATTGGTGATATGGCATCAATGCTGGGTTCAGTTCATACAACTTCATATCAGCCTCGTTGGCCTACTAAATTTGGTGCTCATTTTCCAAGTGTACTGGAAAAGTTTTTGATGTCTATGTTTCATGTCTCTCTCACACTTGCTCTTCTCAATAGCTTGCCGGTACGTATTCAGATAACCTCTGTCATCGGTGTTGATATATTGGTGCATTCACAGGATATCTACGTGAATTAAATAAATGTTTAACTTTATATTACTCTGATTCATACAAATTAAATGTTAGAAGTTGAAACAGTTTATTTGTCATACTGAAACTTGAAAGAATAGCACTGCAACTCACTCTTTACTAGTTATCACAAGCTAATAAGGAAAATTATGAAGAAAAGAGTGTATTTGGATATAGCTTTTGCTTGATGGCTGTCTGTAAAGAAATGATTGTTTATCCTTTTCGCAGTATTAAGATGTATTAACGAATTAGTCCTATGACATCAAAATACTGATTATTATTGAACTTACCTCATATTCAGCAAAGAATACCATTTGCGTATCTCGTGGTGTATCATGTGTTCGGTACTTGTGAATAAGTTTCCTAAGCTCTTCTGGAAGTCACATGAGAAAGAAGAAATCTTTAAGTGAGTGGGGTTGGTCATTTGTAAAACTGTAGAATGCTATTATCCTTTTAACAAGTTGGGCTAAGCTCATATTAGCAAGGGCAAGGTTTATGGTTCATTGCATTCAACCTCACTTTTGGTTGCTCACTATTTTCTAGAATACGCATCAACCTTATACCAAATTTTGATACACTTACATTTGTCTTGATCTTGTAATCACGATGCAATCTTGCACTCAGGTAGTTACATACTTAATATACACCCATCATTTACCATACACGTTTTCTGTACAACGTCCAGGTATATTTTCTTGATGGTGAATTTATTTTGGAGTTAACACTGCACTACTTATGGTTCTTGAGCCCCAGAAAAAGAGGAGTAGCTCTTCAATGTTGTCTACTTGGAGGGACTCTTATTTCAACCCTACTCATTTTCCGGATGTTCCTTTTGCTATAAGGTATGGCCATAATGCATCCAATATACATCAGAACAGAGATCATATCGCGTTTTTCAGTAGTACGTGTGTAACTAAGTTTGTATTTAAATAGCTCAAATTACATTTTTTAACTTTAATGGAGGTGCATGGGAACATCCTAATTTCACACATCATCTTAGTGGTTTGTGTTCCCACCTCTATGGTCAGGCAGGAAAAGCTTTCACCACTTTGCCTGCATATAATTTCTTAGTTTTAAACATTCTATACACTTGTGTGTTTCGTTTTACATTGGAAATCAGATTCGGTTAAAAATTTAAAATTTTCACGTCATATTTCGTCCTACTTTGTTCAATAAGTCAATGACGCCCTACTACTTTAAAATTAATTAATTAAACCCTCAAAATTTGAAAAAAATGTCAATTGCTCATTTCTGTCGGTAAACCTTCGGTTTTCCGATTACCTACATATGCGGGTATCCATGTGGCTTTTATTTTAATGTTTTTCTATTTTTTCAATAAATTTTATCTTGAGCAATCTTCCTCAACGACTGATGGTGCCATGGATGCTGCCAAACTGCTCTCCTCCCTGCTACTCGTGATTTCAAGATCACGTTGTCAGGTAGCTCTCCCATTTCGTCTTGGATCTATATCTTTCATCTCTCGTTGAAAGGCCTCGGGTTGTCGCTATCTTGGACGGTGAAGCTGATTTTGGACAGTGACCATGGCTGAGATGGGAAGTTCGAGATGGAGACCTTGCCTGGCTTATGGTGTTTCACTGGAATCCTTTTGTGTTTTGGGTGCTCATGTGTTTCCAATACAAAAAAAAAGATTTAATTGATTTTGTAAAGGAATGGATTATGGACTTGAAGGCGTCTGTAAATAGGTGAAGAATTCTTCACCAAGAAAAATACAAAGTTCTGCACCTGAAGGTGTTTGAGGAAATTCCTCACCCAAGACAGTAACATAAAAAAGAGTGTTTGAGGAAGCTTATACATATCATTTTAATTTACAAATCTGCTTGCACTCTTCGTCATTGAATTTCTCTGTGCAATCAAAGGGATTGGAGAGATGTTGTGGCCTGTCACAAGTAGGGATGGTCTGGGACGGGTCGACTCGACCGGGTACCGTTTATGCCCGACCTGACCCAGTACTGTTTATGCTTGGTCCGGCCCGCTACTTTTCAGGCCCGGTCCGGCCAGGGGCTATAAGGGTGGGCTTTGGGCTCGTTTTTTGGGCCTGACTTGGCCAGACCCAATTGCACTATTTTTTAAATTTATTGTCCAGTACCGTCCTGAAGCCCGGCCCGACCCGATACTGTTTAGGCCCGGCCTGAATCGGTCCCGGTAAAAACCCGGGCCGGTACCGGACTTGAAATTCTTAAGCTCGTGCCCTCTGAGCCCGGCCTGACTTGGTCCCGGTCCACCCCTAGTCATAGGATCCGGCCGCTCCTATGATGGGGAGATGGTGATGGCATAAAAGAGAAAAATTGAAAGAGTGACATGTAGAATAGCCATGTAAGGGAAACCCATTGTACACTGGCTAAATTGTTGAATTGGATTTTTTTTAAAGTTTGAGGGTCTGATTTTAAAGTATGAGGATTTAGTTGACTTATTGAATATAGTACGATGATTTATTTGACAATTTTCTTTTTTATATATATGAATAAAAAAGAAATTACCCTAAAGAGAATAAAAAACAAGGGAAGACGGGCTTAATAGAATTGTCAACTCTGAACAATATGAATTAGAGTGATATTCATTACTCACTTTATTTATTTAAGGAGTGTTCCCAATAGATTATGCTTCAATTTTAAAAGCAACAATTTTTCAGAAATTGGTCTCCAATTTTTAAAAAGGGAAAAAGGGCAAATAAGGTCACGTACTAACTAAAAAAGGTCAAATAAGGCCTTATTTATGAGGCTCTGTCTGACCTTCGTCATTTGGGGTGGTTATCGGTGGAATTTTTTGATAAATTGTTTTGATCATCTTATTCATTAAGTCTAGTTTACTTATACCAAATTTTAGCTAACAATTCAATCGGGAAAGCATTCAAATGAATTCATAAAGTGCAGTTATCTTCAAGAATTCATTTGAATGACTTCCCAATTGAAGTCTTAGCTGAAATTTGGTATGAGTAAACTAGACTTACTGAATAAGATGCTCAAAAAATTTCATCAAAACATTCCACCAGGAACCACCCCAAATGGCGATGGCCGGACAGAGCCTCTTAAATAAGGCCTTATTTGACCTTTTTTTGTTAGTACGTGGCCTTATTTGCCCCTTTTCTCTTTTAAAAATTGCTTGTAAGAACAATTTGGAATTCCTAGAAGTACTTCTCAACTTCGTTCAAGCACTCAAAAATTTACTTTTGTTTCATGAGGGAGCAGAAACACTTTTATAAATCCAAACACCATCAAAGTGGTGTCGTATTACTCAAATTCTAATAAAGATAAAAAGGTTTACTGAAGTAGGATACTAGGATTGTGACACAACTTTCTTTTTACTAAGCCCCTTTTAATAGGATAGTTCTGTTACTTTAAAATACTGCCATATTATTATGGCCATATTATATTAAAAATAACAAAATCGAATTAAACTGAACCAAACTAAAAAATAGTACGCAATATGTTTTTTGTTTGGTAATAATTACTCCCTCCGTTTTTTAATAAACTTCACACTTTTCTTTTTGGGACGGTCTAAAATAAACTTCACACTTCCTTGTTTCCTTTTTTGGCAAAGAAATCTACATCAAAACAGTGTCAAACATTGTCTCAACAGTGCCAAACAGTGTCAAATAGTGCCTCAACAGTATATTCTACAGTAAAGTCAAATTTCTTTTCTTATTTTGTGTGAAGTCAAAGTGTGAAGATTAAATAAAACCGGAGGGAGTATTTCAACCCGTTCTAAACCGAACTGAACCAAAAATTGATATGCCCCTCCGTATCTTATTTCAAGATAAACCAAATAGTGACCCCAACTCTTGATTGAGTATTTAGTGCAATTAGTTAATTTTTTGTTGCGCCAAAAAAAAGTTAATTTTTTGTTGGTCGCACGAGATCAGGTCATGTGAGGGGATAATCAATCACAGACTTGGATTGATATATTTGGACTAGATTAACAGTTAGGGTTAATGCTTAATGTTTGATTTTCTTAGAATTCGTCAATTTATGATGTTGTTAGATACATAAATGTCGATGTGGACTGGTGATGTGCCGTTTTAACGTCCTTGTTAGCAGACATTGTGACAAATTATATTTGGTGCCATTGGATAAATGGATACAACATTTTCAGAAAGTATTCGTCTCAATCAGATAAAAAAATAAGATTATGGTAGTAATTGAATACTCCCCCGTATCACATATATCTTCCCACTTTCAAAGTGGGTGAGATTAAGAATAGTTAAAGGATATAAATTATTGAGGGTATGATGAGAAGATAATGAAATAATGTGGTGGAATGAAGGATAAATCCAAACAAAGTAGGTGTAATAGTGTATTATTTTTTAAATTATTGAGGGTATGATGGGAAGATTTAGAAATGAGAAGATATAAATGGTACGTTCAAAAAAAGAAAATAAAAAGATATGAATGTTACGGAGGGAGTATAAATTTTAAGGAATTTGTACAGAGGTCAAAAACCTTATAACAAACTGGCGATGATGATATTGATACGTAGTACTTGTGTACTAACGAAGCATGTGAGTTTTGGTTGTTTGTGACGAAGTTGGACAGTAGTTTTGAAGCATTCAAACATGTGAAAAACATTGCTACGTGGTCCCATTATATTATAAAATACAAGTACGTTCTCATATTTATGCGGGGATGTGTTTATTTGGACTGAAATTTTTTGGTCTGGTCTGAATGAGTCTTGTATAGTCTGATCAATGTCTGGCCTCTGGATATTTTATAATTATCCAAGTCTGATCTTGTCTGGTCTGATATGACCTGAACTGGTCTGATTTAGTCTGGTATGGGATTGAAAAATGTCCAAGTAAAAACATCCTAAGAGAGTAAAAGATAAATTGCTCGTTTTAGATTGTTAACCTCTAAAAGGTAAGAAAGCGTAAAATGATATATAAATCGATAAAGTGAGAAAGTAACAATTTAGTGGAGTTCAATTTAGAAAAACGTTATTTTGAGACAACTCAAAAGGGAAAATATATTTTACAAAGTGAGATGGAAGGAGTGTTTGATTGTACAACTCTATGTAATATTGTTCAAAATGCAATTATATCTAAATTACTAAATAGGAAAGGACAAAATGCACATGCAAGATATTTACTACCTTCGTCCCATTTTATGTGTCTTATTTGGTATTAGCACACCAATTATTAATAAAATGGTTAAAAAAGTAAAAGTTGTGGTTGATATTTGAGTATAGTAAAGTGAAACGCTATGAACCACATTTTTTTAGAGAGCTTTATTAATGATGAAATCAGAAATTACAAGAAGGGAAAAAAGAAAGAAAAACAGCAAACAAAGAAGAAAGAAAAGGAAAGAAAGTTAGAAAAACTAGCCCAACCCAAAGTACAATATAAGGTCCCTGCTTAGATAACCCCAATACTTCTTCATGAAATCAAAACTCCATTCGTGTTTGAGACCTAGTCCTCATAAGATGCAATCGCTGATTCTTTTTCTGTATATCTTGATTTGCGTATTCAAGTTCTCTGTAGGTAGACAATTTTCTCTCGTGACCAACAAAGCTTTATTACATATATTCTCATTTGTATCAGAATCCCATAGATCCTCCGTTGATGAAATAGGAGTTCTCTTCTCACTTTCTGAAGCATGACCAAAAAAATCATCTTCTGAGTGTGTACAAAACTGCTCGCCCAAAAAACCTTCACAATCAAAAGCATCTGTTATGAACCGGGATAAGGGTTAGTTTGGTCCTCGAAGTTGCAAAAAAGGGATCAAATAAGTCCTTATATAGAAAATTTTGTTCGGACGTGCCATTTGAGGTGGCTCCCGGTGGAATTTTTTGATGAATTTTTTTGAGCATCTTATTCATTAAGTCTAGTTTACTCATACCAAATTTCAGATACAAATTCAATCGGGAAGACGTTCAAATGAATTCTGGAAGATAACTGTGCTGTTAAAAGCACATTTATCTTCAAGAATTCATTTGAATGTCTCGCCGATTGAATTTTTAGCTGAAATTTGGTATGAGTAAACTAGACTTAATGAATAAGATGCTCAAAAAATTTCATCAAAAAATTCTACCGGGAGCCACCTCAAATGGCACGTCCGGACACAATCTTCTATATAAGGACTTATTTGACCCCTTCTTTGCAACTTCGAGGACCAAACTGACCCTTTACTCGTTATGAACCACATATTTCTTTCCAAAAAGGGAAAGATGACACTTATTTTGAGACAACCCAAAAAGAAAAGTAACGCAGGTAAAATGAGACGGAAGGAGTATATTTTTATAAATAGGAGCAGTGGCGGATCCAGGAATAAATGTTGTTGGGGGCACCATTTAAAAGGTGGAGTACAAATAATATTCCAATGTATGTATACTCAATATCAATTTTGAAATCAATCTCATAGTCAATACGAAGTACATTTGTGTATTTGAATATTAAGCTCAATAGACAATATATATACATATATGCATTTATTTAAAAAATAAGAACATATTTATGACTAAAGTAAAAGTACTTTACAGAAAATGTGACATCTTAATTTTATTAACTATAAAAGTAACTTTATTTATAGTAACATATGGTCATTTTTTACACTTAAGTAATTATAACATAGTAATTATGGAAATAAGATTGCTCTTGAATCTTATTTCCCATCTAAAAGACTTGAAAAAATATCCTTCATTTAGGAAATATAATGACAAGTAGCCTTAATTGTAACAATAAAAACCAACTCTACATGCATGTCCTCTTAAAACACTTCCATAGTAGTTTTAGTAAAATATATGCAAATATAAAATAGTCCGTACTAAAAAGAGGAAAGATTACGGGGTGTTTTTTTTGACTAATTTGACCACTATTTGGCTTTTTGACCAAATA